AAGAGTTTTTTAAGTTTTTATTTTGTCATATTAATATTTTTTACCATATTATTATTTTTTTCCATATCACTATTGTTTGCCATGGTGTCTTCCACGTGTTTTGACATGTCATAGTGTTACCGTGAATTAATATGACACGTCATGTGATTTTTAACGGAGGGACCAAATCGGAGTTAAAATGATAAACAATAGGGACCAAGTCAGGGATTTTTTGAGTTGAGGGACTCAATGGGGGGTCCGTATGATAGTTGAGGGACCAAAAGGGGATTCAACCAAAATAAAAATAATCACCATAAAACGAAAATCTTTTGCTCCGCGCCGCTTGTACCCCTGCACTTGCTGTTGTACCCAACATTAATTTTCAAATCAAAATTAAAAATAAATAAATAAATAGAAAAATGTCGTCCGTGGTGTAGACATTAATTAAAATAAAAATAAAATAAACGCAGCCGTTCCTCTTTACAAAAGTCCCCCACGCCTCTTCTCCTTCTGCATTCGCTTTAGCAGGATCAAACCCTAAATTCGCAAATCCAGTAACCATTCTCGATCGATTCGTCGAGTGCTGCAGAGACGCTTTGATTTACGGAATCGGCCTGGTCTCGAGACGAAGCTATGAAAAAGTCGGACAAACCTCCTTCGTCACGGCAGGTTGTCGTGCGATCTGTGTGGTCTGGGAATTTGGAGTCCGAATTCTGTCTGATCCGATCTGTGATAGACTCGTTTCCTATTATATCTATGGATACGGAGTTTCCTGGCGTGGTTGTTCGGCCGTCTACAGACGAACCGAATTTCCGGCAAAGGGACACGACGGTGCACTACTCTAGCCTTAAAGCTAATGTGGATATGCTGAATCTGATTCAAATTGGTTTGACTTTGTCTGACGATGACGGGAACTTGCCGGATCTCGGGACGGATCAAGTGTATATTTGGGAATTCAACTTTAGGGATTTCGATGTGGCTCGTGACAACTATGCTCCGGACTCCGTCGAGCTCCTCCGTCGGCAAGGTATCGACTTTGAGAGAAATCGGGAGTGCGGGATCGACTCGTATCAGTTCGCGGGGCTTATGATGTCATCGGGGCTGGTTTTAAATGATGATGTCACGTGGGTGACGTTCCACAGTGCGTATGACTTTGGGTACATCGTGAAATGCCTGACGCGGCGTCTGTTGCCTGAGAAATTGAGTGAGTTTCTGAGACTGGTGCGGGTGTTTTTCGGGGACCAAGTGTATGATGTCAAGCATATGATGAGGTTTTGCGAGAGCTTGTACGGAGGGCTGGACCGCGTTTGTAAGTCCCTGGATGTGGAGCGCATGACAGGGAAGAGTCATCAGGCTGGGTCTGACAGTTTGTTGACCCTGCATGCTTGGCAGAAGATTAGGGAAGTCCATTTTGGCGAAAACAACGCGCATGAGAAGTACGCCAATGTTTTGTATGGTTTGGAGGTTTTCAGTTGACTATGATCGTCTAATTTGCTTTGATGTTTGAAAGCTTATTTAATCTGTAGATTTTAGGGCTAATTCTGTATACATTTGGGGTTATCAATCAATATTAAAAGTAGTCCGGTTCAATTATTTTCCATGTATTGTGTTTGTTGAAGTTATGTTTCATGATTTTTGTTGCATTTGGACACTCAGTTAATCAAATAATAACAACTTAACAAATGACTGATAATGTTTCCAGAGGCCTTTTTGAAAGTATGGAACATGCAAAGCTGAGAGCTACATCAGGAAGCAAGGGATGGAAATCTGTCTTGTAGGGATCTGCTTGGTTTAGGAAAGGGGTGGGGCATTGCTTGTTTGTCATTAAAGTGGAAGAAAAGAGAAATTGAGGGCACAGCTTGAGTTTTTGTTTCTGTAGCGGTATGATTTTCTCCTGCTGTTAGGAGCTTACTGACTGCCTTACTGTCCTACAAAATATTGTCCTGGAAGGCACTGGATCTAATCTGTGTGCAGATTTTTAGCAAAGTAGAAAGCTAAATTTGTACCATGGTGGAAATGAGTGAAGGGGATAGAAAACTATAAGGGATTAAAATGAGTTGCTCAGACCAGAAAGCCCAATTCATTTTTGTCGATGAAGATGCATAAAAATAACAATTAACAAATTATTTATCATATCTGTAGTTTTTTTTTTTTTTCAAATGAGTATTTGCAGGTTCTGCTGAGCTGCGTGGCACATTTTGCAAACACTCTGTTGATATTGTCGGCAGCAGCAGTGCATTGGTGACATTTCATGGTGGGGGAAACTGCAAATTGATAGGTGATCTTGCAGCATGTTTTTTCTTCTGTTTTTTGATGGATGGAATAGAACATGTTGTTCATCTGGTTTAATCCATGATTAATAATTGGTCAGAGTGGTATATAACAAGGTTAAGAGGTAAAATTGTCCACTAGATAGATATTTTTAAGTTCTGCATATGTTTTTTATTTTGGTTTTAAAGATATTTGGGTTCTAGAAATTAGTCTATTACTAGCTTGTGGATTTCATGTCATTGTAGAAGTGGAACCAACTGACCTGCCAGCACTTCTGCAGAGTTTACGGCCTCTAAACTATGCAGGCAAGATTTAATTTTGAATTACCTCCAGTGAAAGATCAGTGAAATGCCTAAGTTGAATATATTTTCTCTAACATCATCATCCAAAATAATGTTCTTTACAATAGCTAAAATACTTGTTTTCCTTTACCACTTGTCCAAGTTTATATTTTTGTTTCTTTTTTCTAACCATGGTAATATATTTTCTTGATAAATTATTGTTTGTTTCTTCATTGAAGGAAAGTTCTCATTTTTACTTCTTATAGTGGATTTAACTAATATTTTGGTTGTGTGAATTCGTTTACTGCCTTCTAATGCACTGCACCTCATTTTGAGAAGAATAAAGTATCGAAATTTGCAAGAGTAGATTTCTATGGCAACTAAGGAATGCTATTTTCAGTTGCTATCTGATGCTTCATCATGATTCTTTCCTAGCATAGTTATATAAGCTCAACTGTTTTGAGTCTGCTTTGCTGGAAGTTGCCACAAATAACTGGTAAGGCCAGGCATCTCATATCAATTTAATGAAGAGAAAGAACTCTCTGTTGATAGCAGATTGTATTATTTTAAGTTTTGTGCTTATTTTTTAAGCAATTAAATTTTGTGTGCCAATATGTTTCTATGCTCTTGGAAGTGGTTGTGTTTGACTTAGTCCTCCATTATTGTTTTGGTCAGTGTTGCTGTGAAAAACTCTCATCGCTTCTTTCAAAGTATTATGCTCATTTTTTGCAGGATAGGTAATGAGGGAAGATAATGATTAATTTCCAACTTGTGATCATTTATAGGTGATAATGAGATGTTTGCATATCTAGATGATAATGAGATGTTTGGAACAGGTTTTTAATTTCGTTGTTCTTTTTAGGGTAGTTTCTTTTTAAGTGTGCTTTGTATTTGCTAGAGGCATTAGTTTTTCTAATAGAATCTTTTTGTATGTGTACTTTATAACAGTTTACACTCAAAGATGTCATCACTTTGAACCTTTAATTCACAATAAATTTCTGATTCACTAAAGCAAACTTGATACCAATGAATTTTTTAGTTCTTCCTAACCAGTAGTAAGGCAATTGTACAAAATACTGCTGAAGAATTACATTCTTTTTTTTTTTTTTTACCATTTTTTCTGTCTACGCTCTCCCTCATTTTCATTTATCTCATGAATGCTTCCCAAAGACCTAAAGCCTAAATACCCTTACCTTATGGCTTGAATTCTCTAACTAACTACCAAAAACTCCAGCCTCAAATATATTGCTGGACAATAATCAAATTTTGTTTGACTTCTTAAATGACAAATCACCACATACTGAAACTTTTGAGAGTAGCTTCTCATCACCATACCAATAGCCTTCTGAAGTTACTTCAATATCATTAGCTAGAGAAGAATTGATCATTCACTCCACATTGAGACCTGAATTTCCACCCACCCCCTGCATATGACTGTATGAGTCAGTAGAGATGCTTTAGGGCTGGGACTTGAGTCAGTGATCCATTGGAAGGCTTTGCATTGGTAAAGATTGGAGGGAATACCTTGGTGCAGAACTAGGCTGTAAGCTTAAGGAGGCATAGAAGGAGTTTGCCACTTATAGGTATTATGCAAGCATGCAAGGAATGATGAACAATGGGCAGTGGGAGGGGAAAGAAAGATTTGTTGGCTGTATTTTTCCTTCTTCTCTTTCTTTCTATTTTCTTCCACAATTACTGTTGTTCATTTCCTTGATTATCTTCCCATTTGTGATATAGATCTTACATATTGTTATTGGTCTGATACAATAGCAACTAACAGATCCTTACAAAGTTGGCCGTGTGACTTGGAGAAAGTTGATAGTTTTTTTACATACGAACTTTGATTAATTTCATTTTTCTGCTACTGCTAACATCATGGGATGGTTTAGTACCATTTTTAGTCATTATTACTTGATCTTTTCTGGGTTAATGCTCGACATTTAGGTTGAATCCCCTTGATGACATATAAATGTACATAATTGAAGCTCCACCTTGCTCTCTATGCATGTGTCTTGTTCATCATCACTATCATTTAACATTGAGATGACTATTTATATAAACTCAAACCTGAATGTGTTAAGATATTTACATACTGGAATCGCTATTACTTGTGCAAAGAGAGTCAATGATGCAAGGTACCTGAATGGTTATGAAGGATGATTCTTTGCAAAGCTGATTTCAGAATCTGCAATTTTCAAGTTTGCTTGTGAAGTCCAGAGCTAAACAGTGCTATCGCCTTTTGGCCCTCAATCCCTTGTTTCTCCCTTCCAAAGTGGTAAGGATGATGTGGTAAACTGGTGATGAATAATATCCTTGGTTCTTGTCTCACCAATGAAGATCAAGCTGACCTCATTAAGTTTGATCAGGAATTTGAAGTTTGTTTTCCTTATTGACACATTCTCTTGCACAAATTTTCTGCTGTTCTTAGCACTTATGTTTCTACCAATATTGTTTATTCAATTTATGCGTAAGTGGTGACATATGGTCACCAAGGATGGTTAGAGTGTTTGGTTGGAGGATAAAGTCGAGTGTTTGGTCTGATTTGAACAAAATCCCTGTATATTTATCCTGGTTATTAATATTATCCTGTTTGTAGAACTACGTGGTTGCGCATACAGGGTGAGGCAGTTTTTGATGAGGCATATCAGTAGTTGTCTTTGCCTTTGCCTTGCAACAACATTTGAAGCCCTGAAATTGAATCAGCATGGCGACAGATAAAGAGAAAATACCTTGAAGCAGTTGCTGCAAAAGGTGAAAATCCAGTTGGATGAATCTTGTCATCGATTTCTGGTTCTTCAAATCTAACTACATGAAATATGGATTTGGAATTGGTTATTAGACTGGTATGGACTTATAACCAACATACTCTGTAGTCTTGTAAGGGTCTGCCTAACTGGCTAGTTTCTAGCACATGGCTAAAGATTCTTGTTATTTAGTTATTATTTATTTATTTTTATAACTTGTTTACAGATATAGATTGTATTATAATCTGCAAACGTAGCCATGATATAGAATGGTAGATGTATCCTTCATTGTGGGTCAACATTAATATGGCTATGGCTACACATGCTCCAACTTGATCGTATCTGGTTGGCAGTGACCCGCATTAAGAATCTACTTGAAGTGCTTGACCCTTACCTTTGATATTGATAATGAATTTTTGTTTGCAGATCAGACGAGCAGAGATGAAGCCATGGAGGAATCCTATTAACAAAACTAGTGGACAATCACAAATAAGGGAGCTATGCATCCAATTTTCTTGTAATGGTGGGCTATACGACAATTCAACAAGGTAAGAAACTTCATTTAGGCTTTCCCATAGATTTATTTTTGGATGAATATGAAGAAAGCTTTACGGTTTACAAGCTACATCTGCTCCTTCTCCTTAGCCCAAATCTCTTCATTCTTGTCATTCCAAATGATATTTTTTATATTTCCTTCTTCCTGAAGTCTCCACTTCTTTTTCTCTCACTCTCTCTTTTTTTTTTTTTTTTTTTTCCCTCTTATTTAAAATGCAAATAGACTGCTATTAGAGATTCTTTACTGGACTGCATTTGGTCATTTACAAATGAAGGGTTCATGTACTTACAATGAATGCAATAGAAAGGAAAAAGCAAATACGACAGAAAGGGAGAAACCACAATGATTAAGTGGACTTTCACTAATAAAGAATTGATTAAAGTGTATTAATCAGATCACCAAATCCCTTCATTATCATAAAGTCAAAGGTAATGGAATATTTCATTGTTTTTTCTAGTACATTAGAAGATTAGTTACTTAACAATATAGAGATTTGAATTTTTAATCTTGACTTCAAATCAAAAGTTTTCATTTAACAAGTATTAACTCAAACAAACTCTCGTTGATATAGAATATTTCATTGTTGAGGTTATTAGAAAAAGCAGATATTTGGATATGCCTGCAACGGTAAGTGCTTGCAGGATTATGCTCTTTCTTATAATAATCCTGGATTGTTATACTTACCCATAAAAAAATCAGATTAAGAATCTGCCTAGCTTAATTAAAATTTTATAGAAATGCTACATGAATAGAATTTTACTAAACGTATTGTAGTAAAGAAATTTATCCGCAACATTTTTATTTAATTTTTATATGTTCGATGGAAAAACTAGGACCAGGCAAATCTTTCCCAACTAGGATGAAAGCGAAGGAGGGAGAGAAAACATGGTCCCCCAAACATAACGGATAAGGTGGCCAAGATACCACTCTTGAAAACGATAATCTCATTATTCTGGATCATCCTCATTTTCATATCCAAACAATATGTTTTACTAATATTTTTCATATTTTGATAGTTGACACACTTGAATATGTGAATCGTATGTATTTCATTTGAGCAGACATTTATGAGTTTTTTTGAATGCATTTGTCTTGTACTAAGGAAATGAGAAGAGCAGAAACATCAAAACAATGGTAAGAGCATATACAACAGGGGGTAATCAAAAGTTTTGATAGTTAAATTTTGTTACTTAATTTTTTCAAAGTGAAAGTTGTTATTTAATTGCTCTATCATTAAAAAAAAAAAAAGACAATCAAAACTTTATTTTAGTGATATATCATCATAATTGATATTATTTTATGTAAACTCATATTTTTATATATTTAACTTTTAATTAAAATAATTAATAGAATACATTTCCTCAAACGCATGTTTCACACACTAAATTTTCTAAAAATTATAATTTTATTATTTTATTTAATTTATATTTTATTTAATTTAAATAAAAAATTTAAATTAAATTTAAAAAAAAAAAAAATCCAAGCTGTTGGATTCAAAAATTTTAGACAAGCATGTCAGGGTAGTCAACAATTTTGGCTTTGAATGGGCTTAAAGGACGTAATTTTAACCTTTATTAAGCTTAAAAAATTTAACCGAACTAATCTTCATTAATTCAGAGAACAAAACTTGATTTTGAAAATGCTCCAACGAAGAAAACATTAAAGCTTTATTCTATTTTCTGACATGAACACCGAAGGGAGCATGCGTTGGAGATATGCTCTAAGGCAGACTTTAAAACCACTAGGTCCCACGTTCTGTTCTGATTTTCTGAGTCATGGAGTCATCTCTCATATATGACAATTAATCTGCAATTTAATGTGTGTTATTATTGTTGTCAAAATTTAGATTTAAATCTTAAAATCTTACGATTTTATGATTTCAGCAAGACATTTCGTATAAAATCTATATTAAAATCTAAAATTTATAAAATCTAGATTTTACAGTGAAATCAAGTAAAATCTCGATTTTACCTTTTATTTGGCGGTTGAACTTTAACCTATTTTTTTTCGGCCTTCTCATTTTGGGTTAGTGAGTTTTGACTAGATAACCCATAAATTAAGCTCATTTTTCATTTTAAAAGCCTACAACCCACACAACCCAACCATAAATCAACATTTTAATCGAGAATTCTAGACAAATTTGATTTAACTATCTAAAATTCTAAATTTAAGTCATCTTCTTCGTTTAATTTATTTGTGTTGTTGGATATTTAGATTTTAATTAGATAATTTCAAGTTTTTAACTCTAAATTTGATTTATTGTTATTTAATTTTGATTTTATATAATTTATTATATATTATAAATTAAATTTTATAAAATCTCAATTTTACTGATTCGATTTTACAATTTTGATTTCACCTAACCAAAACGATTTTAGGTAAAATTTCGATTTTGACAACCTTATGTGTTATGTTGTGGTGAGAAGTGATTGTGTCGTACTGTTTGTTCAATTGTTCTACATAAGGGTCAAGTGATTGTCTCTTTTTCTAAATCTTTCCTTACTCGTCCTTAGGTGGGAGCTTGAGATTGCGCAGGGAGCTTCAAAAATTTTGGGGTGAAGGGATGGAGCATTCTTCCTGCTGGGTTTGCCAACTTCTTTGGGTGTTGAATTTTTGTTTAATTTTAGAGTTGAACACGGTAAATTATTTGAAACTTCAAATTTTTGTATGGATATGGAAATGTACGGGGCACGCTGAACAGGACCACTTCCAGCTTTCAAAGATTAATTTTGAAGAACATATGGTCCCATCACATAACTGTGATACAATTAATGTATACCCTATTTACAAATCGCACATTAACCCCTCAATTCATTCTTTCCTTTTAACTTGTGGGTTTATATAAGAGTTGATGACATTTCACATCCATTTTTTCACAGTAATTTTAATATTATAAATCGAATTTAAAACTTTTAACTTTCGAATGATATTTAATAATTAATTTAAAATTATCAATTTTACCTTACATTACAACTAATGTTAGTAAAGAAAGTCAAGTTAATCGTAGATTCAGACAAAACCTCAATTTGGGCAGAAGATGCTTCCCAGAAATGGAGGAATCCATCAAGTTAAGGAAGAAAACAGACCTTTTCCCTGTTAAGGGAGTGAGGAAGCGCACGTGAAAGAGAGTTGCTGCATTTTTTTCGTCTCATAAGCAGTAGGCCACTGTATTAACATGTTTATTGTTTTTTTTTTTTGTGGTACATGTCCTTTTTTAATAAAACACTTCATTAATATTATAAATACGTTACTGCTCTATTTATAGTACAGAATAAACCCTACACCTTTTAAGAGTCAAATGGTGTGATTGATTAAAATTATTTGCACTCAAACGGTAATAAAAGATTTAAACATCTATATTTTAATGTAATTTATATCTATTTTTACCGGTTAAATCAATCTAGGTTAAATTGGTTACTATTTAAATGTTTATAGTATTTTTTGGTTTTTTACATACATGTTTATTAAAACGCATTTTTTTCATTCCATATGCAACAGGCACTGTACACTTACATGTTTACTCTTTTTTCTTTTTCTTTTTTTTTTTTGTGGGTACATTCGTGTTTGCCTTTTATTTTCTTCTTCATTTATTGAGTTGATTGAAGTAGATTTCCTAACGTCTCTCCTGCTCCAAATACACTGTTTTTCTCCCTTGTTGATGTTACTTTCCACCTGTTTTTGATCATTTGGTCCAATACAAACAATGGGACTAGAAAGAGCCATAAGAATGCGGTCACGTTCTTCACACACTGCACCCAAGTCGCATCATGCCAAAGCGTTCGCTTAATTGACTAGGTAGACATTTACTCCTTCCTCTGTAGGTCTTCCTTCCAACCGCTATACTACGTTAGCGCCATAATTGACTAACAACAATTTGACATATCATTATTACGCATCAATTCATGTACGTAGTTAATTTATTAAGTGAGAAAGAGAGACATTTTTACTTATGTTAACACTTAATTGATTTCTACCCAAACAAAAAAAAAAACACTTAATTGATTGAGTTAATAACTTAAATAATTTGATGGTAATCTCTTTTAAGTGAAAGTAAAAAAATTTAGGTTTAAATCATATGATATTCAAATAAAATAATTTAGATATATGAAAATGTTATCTTTTATTACGTAACTTAAAATAAAAAAAAATAAATTTATTTAACTTGTAGATTTAGAATATATATTAAAGCTACATTAATTATATTTTTTATATTTTATTTTCATTAAAAAAATATAATATATGCATCATTAAGACGTGCCATGAGAGTATAAACTAGAAATTTCTATAAAGAAAATTGAATTGATCGATTATATCATATAAGACATACATTTGAGTTATATTGTAGACTTTTTCGTTTTATAGACTATTTTTGATTGTTTTGTTTCCTCTTTCATTCTTCCAGCTTATCTCTGCTTGGTTTTGGAAAATGCTTTAGTGGGAGAAAAGTTTCGTCTCTGTTCTCTTTTACAAAAGAATAATGAGAGTTCTCTCTCGCATTGCACATGCTCTAAGAAAGTCATTGACAGTACTTTTGGGATACAAACTACAAGCTCAAGCTTAAACTTTTTTTTTTTTTTTGGGTAGAAAGCTCAAGCTTAAGCTCTAGATAGAGTTTGGTCT